TGCGGCATATCACACGCGCAAGTGCGTCATATGGGAGGAGTGGAGTGCTACCGAAAGTCGCTTAAATGTGCAAGGTTGAGAAAAGTTGCCGGCCCAAGTCCTAAATCGCCAAAGAATTCGACATTACAGCATCGGCTGTTTGACACTGTCCACCATTTTGCAGAGCAAGCAAGGCATATTAGATGGGTTTCAGAAGTTTCTCGTGCAGGAGAGAGCGCGCCCGCGCTCTCTCCTGCGTGAAAAGATCGCCAACTGCTTTACGCATGTCATATTTTCTCTAGCGAGCATGCTTGCCAAGCCAGCGCACGATTTGCATAGCTGCAGCGATCTTTACAGGAGTGCGTGAAAACATGGTGGCAAAGCCATCGAGGATAACTTTTGCTCTTTCACACTTGTCGATGCAGGGTTGGTAAACTTGGGAAAAACCGTCACACTGCCGCTTGGAGTCACTAAACGTCCCTGACTCCCATCACACCAGCACTCGAAGACACGGACCCTACGGGCCCATAGAAGCTTGTCTCTTCTTTGCTGATAACTGACATCCCGAGAGAAGACGAGTTAACAGCAATTGAAAGGAAGATAGCAATGTTCAGGCAAGAGGTGTGCCCCAAAAAGCCGGCACTAGGACAAGGTGACAACAGCGACCTCCATGAGCACGCAGGCTTGCTCATCATTTTGTGTGTCCAGACTTTGGCGGGAGCTCTAGTGCACCAGCAATGTGCCGAACCCATTAACAGGAAGGACTTTCTTCTGTGTACTTGGAGCGTTTTAGGTGATATGGTGAGCACCATGTACCTGGAGCGTTTTAGGTGATATGGTGAGCACCATATCCAGGGGAACAGTGTGTGAACTTTAAAATGTTTTTCTTGGTTTTGCATTTTGAGCCTGTTTTCATTTTTAAAAGCCTATATTTTTTTTCTGTTTATATTCCCACACAACTGAAATGGTATATTTCTAGGCTGAAAATTAGTGGAGAATTCAGTAAAGTACTTGGTATTCAATCTTTTCCATTTCTTCATCACAAAAAAAGTTAACTTTTGTCAAAGTCATATAAAAGAGAAATTAAGCCGATGGATCATTTTAGGAAATTGCAGGTTCAGGAGGTTCTGGTATGAAAATATTCGACCAAGATCTGGCTGACTCTAAGAGCTGCGGTAACCTAGATTGGACACCCCCAAAGTCTCTTTTGTTCCTACTGTGGCTTATCTTTTTTTCCCAAGCTCGCCCTAAGACACTTCTTCCCTCTTTTTTCTGACCCGCTTATTGTTTCATCCTCGGAAACCTGGGAACCTGTTTTCTGCCAGGTGTCAACAGTTATTTCTAAAATGGTGGATTTTTAAATCTGTGTTTTCATGCTGAAGTACACACCTTACTTTGTTCACCCCTTACCCAACATTTACATTTCATAGATACAAAAAAGAAACAACTTTTTGTTTGTATAGCAAAATGATAGTTTTTTTTTTTTTTCAAAGGTGCTACTCACTGTCTTCTTTTTATAACAAAGCAGGCTGTAGGTTAGCACAAATACACTCTTTTTGGCTGAAATTTGGCCAACCCTCTCACGTTTGCGTGGTTTACATACTATGCATGTTTCATATCAATCAGTGAAGTACTTAAAAAGTACACCTCAATAAACCGGGTCTCCCCTTAACAAGGAACATTCCTGGAGCTACGTGGTGTAAGTCAGAAGAGCTTACCTTCTTTCACTGCACAACTCTTTATTTTGCACTCCCTTATAAGAGCAGCGACGTGGAAGACGATCCAGCATAGTCCCTGGAATGCAGGCTTCCACCTGTTGGAGCAGCAAGCATCTCCATAAGCTCTGTTGGAAGAGACAGCACGGGAATGTCACAATGAGCATGGTTCAAAGCAGGGCCAGTTTGACTTAAAAGAGATATCGCCATTGTAACTCTGGGCTGATGATGCACATTTAGTACATGCGTAAGTACCCTCAGCAAAAAACAAAATATGGGTCTGAAGACACGGAAGGCTCTACATTGTATAACAACTTAGATGTGCTGTGGTACCAGGCTGACAAGTAAGCAAGGGCCATCAACAAGTTATCTTCAAAGTCAGATCATTGATTAATACCCTAGCTGTCACAACCCAAGCAGCACGGATTTCGGCCAAGCATAGGCCAATGGGTGGTGTTCGCCATGTCCGCCAGTTGGTAGAGCGCTCCATTGGAAATGGAGAAGTCCCTTATTCGATACCAGGACCAGGCAGATTTTTTCGGTCGCACACCATGCAGTCACCTGGCTGTGTTTGAACATTTGTGATTGTCCTTTGTCTCCCTTGTTGCCCTTCTCTAGGTATTAGTTTCGTCATATTGGCGCGCTTTTGATGCTGCAATATTGGTCCCATTAGCTCGTAGCGTCGGGAAGTATAGCATTTGGACTTGCTCGACCGGCAATCCACGATCACCGAAGGCCACTTACCGGTACGACTGCGCACTGGTCTCCTCCTCCTGCGTTTCGCAGTCGACGCTTCCTTGTCAACCACTCAACGCTCTCCAAAGTTCATTTCAAACGTTCAGTCCACGCAGTACATTGTAGGAGAGCTGGGAGAGCCACAGGCATGTTCAAGAAATTACAAGAAATACGCGGGCACAACGCTGACAACGCTGACAACGCCACCGCTCAACATCTTGGATTGGATTGTCTCGTTTTCCAAAAATCGAATACTTGAAAACGCAAAATTATTTTTTATTTATAAATATTTATTTCACTCCTTAGAACTAGAACAGAAATCCAAAAATATAAGTGTTAAATTGTCTTGCAATTTGCCGAAGTCACATGGGTCAGGCCACTCCAAGTTAGTTTCGTTTTTGTGCAATCCGCGCGCCGAGGGCTGAGTAACTTCAAAGCGTATCTCTCGAGATTTTGTGATTTTTTCGCAGCCTCACAAATCTGTCACACCACCTCAGTGTCGGTGCCGGGGAAATAAAAAGTCGTATTTCAATTTCCCGTGGTTCGACGTGGTTCCTCGAGTGGCAAGCCGTGAAACTGCAGCCGTTTCTTTTTAAAGGGACACTGACAGGGTATTTATGCTCGCCGAGGTTTTTAGTTGTACATGACATATGAGATTGAGAGCCCAACTACCCAGAACACAATTTGCGACTCGAAATTCGGTTTCTTTCCGCCCGAAGTGGCCGGTTCGAGTCTCGCTCACTCTCTTTTCCGTGGTCACGGGCCGATTTCTAAGGTATCGAAGCGACCACCAAATTTAATCAAAGTCCTTGGTCACTGAAGGCACACACTCAGTATTAAAAATAGAAAAAAACATGAAACCCATTTTTTGTGGCTTATAAAAAGCTGCAAATACGTTGATGGAAAAAAAAGTTGCACATAGAACCTGAAGCATTCTGTGAGTGCGTCGTTTCACGTATCGTGGGACTCGCGTGGACGGTGATGGCAGCGGACGACGGGCGTGGGACCTCTACTTCAGAACTGTCGTTCGCGGTACCGGCGAATTCTGTCTGCCTTTGAAAGAGAAATTTGGGACTGATCAAAAGAATTGGTATTCATCCCGTACACGCCCGACCACCAAGCCGATTTGCACGAAGACGTCGCCGAGCCGTCGCTCCATTCTCCTGGCTGAAGACATCGCTCGCGCAAACATCAAGCACCGCACGAGGTGTTTACTTCGAGTTGAATATGCACGCGTACGATTGCTTTACTATAGTGCGAATGTCGCCAATGCGTCGTACTTCCCGACTTCGCCCCAGAGTGCTTTTGCTGAAGAAAAGTCGGCAGCAAACTTCCCAACTTACAGTTTACCGGCTTATCATTACTAAGAAAAGAGAAAAATGTCTGTCCCAGTAGCTCAGCTGGAAAGATGTCCGCTTCACACGCTGTAGGACCGGGTTCGATCTTCAGTGAAGCCAATTTTTTTAAAACATTTTTTGATGTCTACATTTCTTTTTTTTTTTTTTTTTACAATTATCACTGAAGAAACAAACAAAAATAACAAACAAATGTTGTGGCCGACACATGGCTGAATTAAATGGTATGGGATTTCCTTTTTGACACCTGCGAACTCAATGTAATCACTTACCACAAAATGCAAAGGCATACAAATCAGGTAGCGTCCGCTTTCCGAGGTACCCGTAAATGTTCTACAGGAATTTCTGCCAGCCATTGGTCCCGATTCCGTTGATCTTCAGCAAAATAAAAAAAAAAAAAAACAGTGAAGAGGAAAGTAACCCAAAATAAAACGTGATTTGTGTATAAGAGGTCACTAGGACCACTATAAAAACGCGCAAGGCCTATACAGATATGCGAAAAACAAAGATCAAAGGGTCAATGCCGAGTAGACTATGCCTCTTTCCATCGTCATCCATCGTGTTTTTCATCTTTTCCCGAGTATGAGAAATGGAAAGTCGTATCGCAGAACACTTTTTGAAAATATCAAGATTGTTTGTTTGATAAGTGTAAGGGAAAAGTAACGTAACAAGCAATCGGTTACTTTTCAACAAAAGTAATCTGTAACGGTGATCTATTACATTTGAGGCTCAGTAATTTGTAATTGTATTCCATTACATTTTTCAAGGGGCCCCAGAAGTCTGTATATACTTAAAAACCCCAGCTCAACTCTCTGATAGTACTCTGAAGCACTCATTTGTGCACTGATCCAGCCTTTTTAGTTATTTCAACTAGAGAGCTTGTGTCCTTGAATAGTTTTAGGGCTATATAGAAGCAGCAACAAAACGAGCAACTCGGCATAAAATTTATCCTTTAGAGTCTGGTGCAAAGATGCACTGCGGCAAAGTGAGATATGCAGGAATGCAGCCTACCTACAGGCGGTGCTTCTTTACAGTGCACAAGCACTTGGCGACCTCAACTTGGTTGTACAGAACGCACAAAGCGACCGCGAAAATCGGAAATGTTGCAGATTTTCAAAGGACATTGTGTGTTTCAGGCAAGTAGCAAACCCAACAGTATGCGATACGAACTGACAGTAAAATGCTTAAACTATTTACACGCCTATCGTAAGAAACAGCAGAGTGGCAGAGCAAAAATAAATTTGACGCAAATGGTCCAGCCGTGACATCAAAAAGCTTACTCCCACTGTCAGCTGGCAAAGATCAATCAAGCTCAAAAAAGGTTGAAATCAAAGCTTACATTGTGCCCGTTGCTCGTAGAAATCTCATCAACAGCAGTGAGGCAGTAAGGCAGCGCCTTGTCGAAAAAAGTAGTTTATTTGCGAATAACTGAATCCACAAAGAACGCAAGACAGTTACTGACAGATTTCTTCTTACAACCTCAGGGACATAATTCAACTTGGAGCAAAGTGGAAGAACTAGGTTAACAATGCATGGAAATCTAGACAACATAGGAGGGATCACTTTACAAAATGTCCCAAAAATCTAGACATAGGACTGAAGGTGCCTTAATAAACCCTAATGCTCTTCATCCACTTAAAATGAACAGTTAAGTGGGAAATGGGTCTTTGGAGGCAAAAAATTCCTAAAACTTAATTCTTTTAGAAATGGCAATGTCGTCTTCTACAGATGGTAGATGAATATTTGAAGTATAAATCAATTTTTAATGTCTGAGCAGGTTGAATGTGCGTTGAAGTCGACTCTAAAACACTGTTTGCACAAAACACAATTTTTTGACTTGTTGCGAATTTGCAGGAGGGGTATCAGCATCTAGGGCAGATAGAAATCTAACTCTTTTTGAAACATGTAGATAACTGCGTGAAGCATACAATGTTGAGAGCAGATTGCTTAATATAGGTTCAAGAGTTTGTAATTGATTTTTTATTTTATTACGTATTAGTCACATTGAGCACTGAACTTCAATGTGTAATAAAAACACTAATAATGGGTTAATCTTAAAAGTGCTTCCAGCATTGTATTCTCTAGAGTTTGTAGTATCTAGCTACGTGTTAAAGAGGATATTTTGTTGAGTAATTTTTGCTTCCTATTGTTGCTCCAAACAAAGGCCGGTGAGTTTTAATTATTTTGAGGAAAATTCTACTCACTGAGAAAATGACCAGATATTCTAAATCAGCACAAAAAGCTGAATAAGCTTTTGCAGATTCAATGTGTTTGGTCATAAATAAATAAAAAATAAAAAGCTCCAAGACCAGTGGCTTTATACATCATAAAACAAAAATGAACCTGAAGAGAAAAGCTGCTAAACTGTACTAAACAAAAAAAAAAAAGCCACATAGCAGTACTGCAACTGTTGCCTAATTATAACTGATAATGTTAGAGCTGATATATGTGCCTCTACGTCTCAATTTCATTTGAACGGACAACAGACAAGCCGCAAAGCGCACGGTGAAGCATGAAAGAATTCTTCCACAACTCCAGATAATGCGTGAAGCAGGTTCCTCACTTGTGCACTCTTTTCCGGTGGCTGTCGAAATCGCAACGCCGTATATACGTATTCCCACAGGCATCACACTTGTAAGGCCGCTCCCCACTGTGACTTGTCTCATGACACAACAAGCTGGATTTATGTGAAAATTCTTTCTCACAGGTGCCACACCTGTACGGCTTCTCGCCCGTGTGTACTCGTTTGTGAATCAACAGCTGATGACTTTTGGCGAACGCCTTCTGGCAAACCTCGCAACGGAATGGTTTCTCCCCCGTGTGGGTCCTCATGTGCATCCGCAAGTCAGCAATAAAAGCAAACGCTTTCTCACACACAGAGCAGCGGAAAGGCTTTTCTCCCGTGTGTGTCCTTTCGTGCCTAGTGACATGAGAAAGACTACGGCAGGAGTAAGGGCAGAACTTGCAGGTGTACATGCCCTCATATCGTGGCCGCGTCGTGGGTTGCGACTCAACCAGTTCGTTTCTTGGGGAAGAGGAGTTGTTCTTGTTGCCCACATCGTCCCGGAAGGCTGCTTTGGCCAGCACTGTTGAGGATATCAAAGAAACGAGACAAGGAAAGTTTAAGACATCGGTCGCCAAGCTGACCCGGCCTAAGAGCCGCAAACATAACCACGAAACTTCCAAGAGTCGCAGAGGCGGGGGGGGGGGGGGTTAAGTTTTGTTCAGAGGAATGAATGAAACTCGAACTAATTGCATTCTATCCGAGTCAAAAATAGTCCAACTGTAAGTAAGATAGCAGTAACACAAGAAACCGCAACCTGTCTTTGGATTTAACCGAGTTCCATATCTCTTCTTGGGGAAGTGCACGGGGGGAGGTAATGGGAGGGAGCCGCGACCCGCACCTTCACACGCGAAGAGCCGCAGCTTGGCCACCCCTGGTATAAGACAACAAAGTCCAATGCCAAGGTGCAAACATTAGACAAGCTTGACAACTCTGCACTGCCTTCAGCAGAAAGTAGTGCATACAAAACAAGTGGTTTGACTCCTGTTCATATAAGAAAGAGAACTCAGCAAAGAACAATTGAAGTATTAAGAAAGGTTGTTATTAAGGTCATGTGATATCAAACTTCAAGTTAATAAAAAATTGATGAGCATTGCCAATTCATGCAGCAAATTTTCATGTGTACTTTATCTTTCATTGAAGCAGCACATCTCACATCCTAATAGCCATAAGCAAACAATAAGCGAACCTCATTTCTGGGCTTCGGAATTGCTATACCATATAAAGCTGCAGTATGTGCTATGGTACTGTGGAGGCTCCATATAGCGACGTCCGATCACTGTAATAATGTTCTACAAAATGTCACTTTAAATCTATGAAAAATCACACTTCTCGAGTAAGCAGGCACTGCTTCCAGTGAATGCAATTAACAAAACAAATTGCTGACATCTTGCAGCCTCAGGCACCTGGCAAGAGCATGCATTGCAAGAACACTGCATCACACTTGTTTTGTTTTGCACAAATAGAATGGCGGTGAATGCGATCAGGTAGGTTGAGTGCTTGTCCTCATTTAAATAACTGAGATCCATTTTATGCTAGGAGACACTCATTTCGATGATGCCGGACTGGTATAAGAACACTGCACAGAAAATGCTTGATCCCAAAAGGTGAGTTGGCCAGTGGGAAGAAGCCTCTCTGCAAAGCAACAATGGGCCATTTGCCAGATCTTGCAATGGTTGCCAGCGTCGACCTGCGAGGTTGAGAAGAGAATAAATCGCAAATATATGGTCGCTCCTGTGAGGCAAGCATTTGACCGCCTTTTAAAACCCCGAACATGGCACACTCACATTAACGCCAAAGGCATATGGTAGCAAAAAAATGGTAACAGGGGTGCCCACAAAAAACAGTCGCAAGTAAAACAAACAGGACCAGGGTTCATATGGCCAGACTTAGCACCTCTCACGGCACCGACAATACATATACTAAAATCATTTAGAGCGCAGCTCTTAGGCGTAGCACCCGTTTCCAAGTTGAGCGGCATCGTTGTCGGCGTAACCGCGCATTGCATTATGGGACACTTCCCGTAATGATGTACACGTGCCGTCACGAGGGTAAAATTTCCCGGCTAAATTTAGCGGAAAAAGTTTCTTACTAAATTTAGTGAGAAAATTTCCCCACTAAATATAGCAGAAAAACTTCCCTGCTCAATTTAGTGGAAAGAAATCCCGGCTTCATTTAGCGGAAAAATTCCCTGCTAAATTTAGAGAAAAAGTTTCTCAGCTAAATTTAGCAGAAAAAAATTTCCCGCATTATTTACCGTAAAAAGTTACTAAATTTAGTGTGAAACTTTCCCCGCTAAATTTAGCAGAAGACATTCCCCGCTAAATTTAGCGGAAAAATTTCCCTGCTAAATTAAGATAAAAAATTCCCTGCTACATTTAGCGCAAAATTTTCTCTCTAAATCTATGGGAAAAAATTCCCCGCTAAATTTAGCGAAATTCCTTTCTAAATTTAGTGGAAAACATTCACTGCTCTATTTAGCGAAAAAATTCCCCCAGAATATTTAGCAGAAAAAATTCCGCGCTTTTTTAGCTAGAAAATTTCCCCGCTAAATTTAGTGGAAAAACTTTTTCCGCTAAATCAAAAAAAAAAAAAACTTTATGCTAAATGGGAGGGGACCAGGATGTGAGATGCACAGGAGCAGGAGGGGCATATCCTCCCCTTCTCCTCCTCAAGAGCTGTGCTCCATTTGGGTGTTACGAAGAATTGTATAAACATTTTTAATTTTTTTCTTTTACTACATCTCATACTTTTTTCATGGACAGATTAATAGCAGTTTTTTCATTTCACTGAATGTTCTAGGAAAAAGTAAAGTACAGTTGAAAATGTATAAGAGTGGCATCTGCACAAAAACAATTTATCAATGTAACAAACCAATAAATGAACACATACTTCTCACTTTTCTAAAAAAAAAAAAGGCAGAAACCACGATTGCCCATATTTAAGCACTTTAAAACCCCCGAGCTTACGGGGAAGCTCAGTTTCTGTAACACCTCCAGGTAAGGCATTTTAACATGTATCTAAAAAGAAAGACCTACGATGACAAGGACATTGCAGAAAATAATCTCTGGAATGAAAATATTTTGACATGTATCTGAAGAAACAACCCTACAATGCTTCTAAAACTGCCAAGAAATATTCTCTTGAGTGTACCACCAATGACACTGCACTTACATCTGTGGCTATAATAGACCCTTTTACAAAATAGTGCACACCCTCATGCAGTACACATGAAGAATGCATGAAATCTTGAGGTGAGCATTTGCAAAAGGGCCCATTGGAACAGATTTGTTTACAAATATAATAATGGCACAGCTTTAGAGTCTCTTTTCTTTAATGAACAACTTCACTTACCATGCATTTTCCAAGCGCCAACTTCTATATTAAGAGCATAAAGAGCTTTGTAAGGAACACCATAGCCTTGCTTACTTTTCACAAAAAACCTTTTACGAGATTAATTATGAAAACACGTATTTAAAACTGCTGACCCATATATAACCCCAAAGTTTATCGAGAGCTAAAAGACATATGGAGAAGCTTGAATTCAGTACAAATGGCGTCTCCAGGTACTAGTATTGTAATGTCCCGACTCCCAAGATATGCCCCACCCTCCCCAAAGATAGCCCACTTCCAGTAATTGCAGGGCCCTGGCCAATGGTGACCTCGGAAAAAGCGGTGTAACTTAACCACAGCGGGATATAAGCAAACATTGCGGACTGGGAAGGACAGTCTTTGGTTCATTGCCCCTCCCTGCAGCCACAAGTTATATGGGTCATGACATCTAAAACTATGTAGCATTTCTTCAACTTCTGTTTTATGGCACACCAAAATTTAGCCTGCCCTTTATTTCCATCCGATTTGCTATCGATTTTTGGTGGGCTATCTCTCAGGACATTACAATAGATGGGTTTACCTCAAGGCTGACATTTCGTCCGATTCAAACATAGGTCAGCTCGCATGGTCGCTTTTCCGCGGGTCTAACACTGGTACCACAGGGGAGCTATGTTGCACGTTTTGGACTCCCAGGAGACTAGGGAGAAGGAAGTGACGTAGGTGTGAATGAACGTATCTTAGCAGCACCACGCAACGCGTCATCAGCGACTCCACCAATCAGCATCCAAAGAGCGTTGTTAATGTCACTTCCTTCTCCCTAGTCTCCTGGGAGTCCAAAACGTGCAACATAGCACCCCCGGTCTCCCTTATGCATTATTACGAGACTCATCAAGTTGGTTGCATGCTCGACTGTGCACCCAGAAGTACTGCACTTGAATATATTATTTCTTTTAAACGGATCCTTTCGTGTCTGGTGATGCAAACTCTGTCGCAATAAGTGTAAAGACAAAAATGGCATAGGTGTTTGTCCTCTTGCTGCTGGGGAGACTTCCACAAGCCCTACTCTTCTTCGCCAGTGGTGCCCGAGGTGGGTCCTGTTGGGAACATGTGGCACATCAAGTTGAATTTAGAGACACTGATGACACAACATGTTCTAACATGCACCATGTAAATATAAACAGTGACATTTTTAGAACTTGCAAGCTATTTATCACTCATCTTCTTTCTATGGCTTTTAGAAAGAGCTATATAAATTATTGAAACTCCAAAGCTTCTATTTGTCTTTACCAAAGGCATAACCAGTGAGCTGGCATCACAATCAGTGCAGTAATGGATATTGCTTTGGAGCAGAAATATTTCGATGCCCTAACAAGCATATACACCAGCTTACAGGCTTGGTTTCATGCCACCTCAGTGACGCTGCTTTTGGCACGGAACATGTGCAGAAGCTTCACTTGACACAAATCTGGTTTCTGCACAAGCGTCGTGCCCCCTCCTGGTGCAAGCAAATACTGGATAGCTTGTAAGCAGTACAATGGATTATAGGCAGCACATTACCTATGTTTTGCGATATCCAATCGTACGCTAAAAGTCTATTATTTTGAGAATAACCATTGGCTAACCATGCACCACGAAAAAAAAAAAAAGAACACCTTTGCAGCGAAAGAACGCAATTAATGCACAGGAATTTCTTCGCCTTCTATGAGTGAAGTGATCAATGCAAGAGTGCCAAGACAACTGCATCACAAAGGCTTTGTTGTTGTTGATTATGGGATTAATGGCGCAAAGATTACTGACGTCATATTGTGCCAAGTGAGACTAATCTAGAACAATCGAGAATACCAATGTGATTAGAGATTTAAAAATTATAACTGGCATAAAATGACAATCTCCTTAAGATAAGCTAAAACACGGTTGAATGAAACTAAAGGATCATTACCGATCAGGAACATGCAGTGAAATAGAAGATATTCCCTAAAAAGCTCTGGAAAGCACGCTCAACGTAGATCGTGATAAAAAGCTACGATGGCACAAGATATGCAAGATAGTCAAAAGTTTCCTACAATGGTCATAGAGCTTTGCATCCTCGCCACAGAGAAGGTATTGGTCTGTCCACAGAGAATGACCGATTCTCAGGAGGTAAAGGAGAACTTCAGGACGATGGTTTCTGTGGAAGGAGCCCTCCCAAATTTCCAAGATAGGTTTGATAGCATGAAGTTTGTTTTCTTTTTCGACAACCTGCTCCAGCTACCATAAGTTAAAAATTGATTTCTTAAAAAGTGTCTTGAAATCTTGATGGGGCAAGCCAAAAGAGGCAAGCCAAAAGAGGCAATCCAAAAAAGGCTTCTATAGAGCCCTTCACAGATGCCGCCAGCTGATCTGCTTCTTCATTTACTCATATGCCCACAAGGCGCGGCACCCAGCAAAATTTGATGGTTTGTTTGAGCAGGGGAGATTGAATTAGTTTCACATGTAGCTGTGCTAGGAGATTATTTGTAGGCATCACACCAGCTTGACCTACTTAATAGTAGCCAACTACGTCAAGGGCCATCCATACAAAACACAACTTATTTGTGCCTTGCAAATAAAGATTTATTTGCAAGGGTCTAGACTTATTCAGACCACGGAGCTAGTTTTCTTTTTTATCTCGCTGTGTTGCGCGGTGTGTAAATAATTTTATGCTATATAGATCAGTGTAATAATTCTTGTGTTTGTGATCATTTGCTGTGCCGTGTGGTATGTAAATAAATTAGCGCAATCATTTCTATGTTACTATGTCCACGAAAAAATATGATATGAATGAAAATCACGTGAATAAACCTGCGTCCGTGTCTTCATGCATGAAAATGGGATTTAGAAAAAAGTTGAGAAAGCGGAGTGGACGGGTGCAAACCAGCAGGGCGGCTTGTTTGCCGCAGAACACTGGCCAGGTGGTGCAAGCCAACGCCCAATTTCTTTGTATTTATCCATCCATCCATCCTCTGTATTCTGACTACTTGCTCCTCTAGGGACAGGCGTGGTGCATACGTAGTACCCGTGCAAACCCTCTCCCTTTCCGTCCACCTACCGTGGTGCACCCTCTCTTTTTTACTCTGCTCTCTTCTTCCTTCTGCTCACTCTCGCTCCTCCTGCGTAAGCCTGGCTACGTTCTCAAAGCCCCGACCTACTCTATACTTACGACCACTCCATCTGGAAACCCTCCAGTATGCACGTCCCTGAGGGCCACGTTTTAGCGGCTCCTCGTGGCGGGGCCTGGGACTCTATTTTTTTCGTCTTCTCTGCGCTGCACCATGTGGTGTTCGCTGTGCGCGGGTGCAGTAAGGATAAGGATAATTATAAAGTTTATTTTCAATCAAAAACCATCAAACAATCCAGCCCGCTTAAGCGTAGAACGCTTGTATGCGGGACATGGCAGTAATTATATTTATCTTGTAGACAGAAATATAGTTCACAATTAAATGAATCACAAACACATACGACACTTAACATCCTATATGATTAAGATAAAAAAAAGGAGAGAAAAGTACAAAAATAGTACGGGCAGCT